CTGATGATTCTGCTGATGGCGATGATGGCGATGATGATAATCATGATCATCATCATGAAAATGATGATTATGGTGTTGATGTTGATGTTGATGACGATGATGATGATGAGGATGATGGTGATGATGCTGATGCTGATGCTGATGCTCATGCTGTTGATGATGATGCTGAGGATCATGATGATGATCTTGATGATGATGATGATGCTGCTGCTGATGATGATGATGATGATGATGATGACGATGACGATGATGATGCTGATGATGATGATGATGATGATGATGATGATGATGATGATGATGATGATGATGGTGATGGTGATGGTGATGATGATGGCGAGGAGGAGGAGGAGGAGGAGAATGAGGAGGATGACGAGGATGAGGACGAGGAGAAGCAGGGAGGAGGACGAGGAGGGAATGAGGACTCGGAGCATCGGGGATAGAGGATCGAGCGAGGTGTTCGAGCGGTTTCTGGAGTACTAGTTCGGGACGTGATATGAAGTTCAACGTCGGATAAAGAAGTAGTGGCGAGGAGGAGGAGGTGGTGCAGGAGGAGGAGAAGGAGGAGAAGGAGGAGCAGGACCAGCAGTATGAGGAGGAGGAGGAGGAGAAGGAGGAGGAGCAGGAGGAGGAGGATTTCGGATTCGAGTATCCAGGCTGTGGGACGCGCCTCATTTTCTTTGGGCCTCTGGGGGGCATGCCTCCGCGACGGCCGCGGTCGGGAACTTCTGGACGGCGTGTCGCTTCGCCTGTCCGAGGCCACCGCGCCTCGGCGCGTACGCCATCAACGGCAAGAAACATCTCGACGGAATTTTTGCTGACTTTTGGTCGGTTAAAAATTTTGTTCTCGAAATTCAACAATTCGTTAGAGCTCTAGTATTTTTTCCCGTGATATTCGATCTTATTCCCGCTCGCCGTCCCGGCCCACCCGTGTCGACGTCCCGAGCCTTTCCGGGCCTCCCACCCCGTCGAGCGGAGCGACGCGCTATCCGCTTGCAGGGCATGCCGTGTCGACGGGGCCGCCGCCGCCGCGACACGCTGTCCAAGAGTTCTTGTCACCAGCCTGCGGCATATCCCCATCCCTACAGTCGGTACCACCTTATCTCGATGCGGATTCTAAGGATTCCCACAGTTTCCGAGTGCGCATCCCATCGCCTCTGGGGCGTGTGTATCTCAGGGAGCCCAGTTTTCCTGGCCGTAGATCCTGCTCAAATTTTTTTCCTGAACTCGCCCCATGATGCGTCTGGCGTGGAGGCTGGGGCCTCCTCGAGGATCGAGGATGGGGGGCCTTGTGTTGGCCCTGGACAGCTCGGGATGAAACGCCAGTTCGCAGGGTGGGACCCAGAGGTCCCTGTCGCGAAACAGTCGTGACGTCGGCGGAGGAGAAGGGGAGGAGGAGGAGGAGGAGGAGGAGGAGGAGGAGGAGGAGGAGAAGGAGAAGGAGAAGGAGAAGGAGGAGCAGGGAGAGGAAGATGAGCATGAACAGGAGCAGATCATGAGGGGGAGGCTGCGTTTCTTCTTCGCACGCTTTGGGCCTCTTAGGCGGGTCGCGTGCCCACGGCTGGACGCAGCTCGAAGCACTGGTCGGGATGGCGTCGCGTCCTGGAGGGGCAAGGATGCCGACCCGGGATGCGATCGCCGGAGGCTCGCAGCGGGCACCGGCACCAACATGTCCCAGCCACGCGCAGAGGCGGGTAGGGAGAGGGGTGAAGCCTTATAAGCCTTCTTAGAAGCACTCGCGATTCTTGGAAGGCGCGGGCCTTGTCTGTAGATGTAGGGCCCGCCCTCTTCCAAGAAGCAGCCTCCTCCTAAGAAGCTATCCCCCCTCCCCCTGCCCCTTTGTGCGCGCCGCCCCATGTCGGCCGTCGCCTCCACCGACGGGGGGAAGGAGACCCCCGGGTCTCGGCCACATTGAGTGGCCTTCGGCCCATCCCGCCACCGCGCCTGGCTTGTGGGTATAGAGCCTAACTATTGGATGTTCGTTGGGATCTCGTGGGGGACCTCGGGGGCCTCTTGCAGACAGTTTTCGGGCCCGTCGGGGGCCGTTCTGGGGCCCCTGTCGGGCCTCTTGGGGGCCTCTTGGGGCCCCTTGGGGGCCTGCGGCACCTGCGCTCGCCAGCTCTACCTCGGCGCCCGCCGAAGCATCGATCGAGGAGGAGGAGGAGGAGGAGGGGGAGGAGGAGGAGGAGGAGGAGGAGGAGGAGGAGGAGGAGGAGGAGGAGGAGGATGGCCGTGGTCGGCGTCGCGGGGGAGCGCGCCGATGCCAGCCGGGCCTGGGGCCCTGCGGGATCGGGCCCGCCGCCCTCGCGCTCCCCGCTCTCGCCGCGCTGACCGCCGGCGTCGAGAGTTCGGGCCAGCGTAAGAGGTCGGAGGAGGAGGAGGAGGAGGAGGAGGAGGAGGAGGAGGAGGAGGAAAAGGCGGAGGAGGCGGAAAAGGAGACGGAGGAGGAGGAGAAAGAGGAGGAGGAGGAGGAGGAGGAGGAGGAGGAGGAGGAGAAGAAAGAGAAGGTCCCCGATGGCCTCCGACGGAAACCGAGGGCCGCCGAAGGCGACGACCACGGCGAATGGTGATTATGATGTTGATGATGATGATGATGATGATGATGATGATGATGATGATGATGATGATGATGGTTATGGTGCTGATGCTGATGCTGATGCAGATTCCGATGCTGATGTTGCTGCTGCTACTGCTGATGATGATGATGATGATGATGATTAGGATGATGATGACGTTGATCATGATGATGCTGATGTAAGCTGCTGAGGATGCTGATGATGAGGATGACGATGCTAAGGTTGATGATGGTGATGATGGTGATGATGCTGGTACTGATGACGCTGATGATGGTGATGATGCTGATGCTAATGATGCTAAATGTGATCCTTGATGGCGGACGACGACGATGATGATGCTGGTGATGATGCTGCTGATGATGATGATGATGAGTTTGATGTTGGTGTTGATGTTGCAGTTGCTGTTAATGCGGTTTCTGGTGATGATGTTTCTGCTGCTGCTGCTGCTGATGTTGCTGCTTCTGATGATGATGATGATGACGATGATGATGATGATGATGATGCTGATGATGCTTATGACGATGATGACGATGATGCTGATGGTGATGATGATGATGGTGGTGGTGGTGATGGTGATGATGCTGATGATGCTGATGATGCTGATGATGCTGCTGATGATGATGATGGTGATGATGATGCTGATGCTGATGCTGATGATGCTGATGATGATGAGGAGGAGGAGGAGGAGGAAGAGGAGGAGGAGGAAGAGGAGGAGGAGGAGGAAGAGGAGGGGGGAGGAGGAGGAGGAGGAGGAGGAGGAGAGGAGTGGGGAGGAAAAGTTACCCTATACCGCTACACTTTAGCCGCTTTTCTCTTTCGGGGCCTTCCGAGAGGCCCTTGCCACCGCCGGGTTCGCCTGGAAATCCTGCTCAGAACGCACCCCGGGAGAGATCTTGGGAGTTCGTGCGAGCTTAACAGATGCTCCCACGGTGGGACCGAGGCATAAGATCGAGGTCGGTTCGGGGAGGGTACCCTGTTGTTTTTCGTGCATGTGGGATGTTCTCGTGCATGCTGAGGGAGGGGGCCCTCGTATGTTCTTCGGTTTGGCCGGCGGCGGGTTTCATGTTCTTGAGGGATGCTATTTTGTCCTTTGACTCGCAGGATTTGAAAGCACGAACTCGTCCAGCTTGCTCTTCGCATGCCTGCACCAGCCGCGGGCTTCCAACCAGTTGCTCTCGCAGCGACCTTGCCACTCTCAGCCTCTTGAATCCTCCTCCTCCACCTCCGCCCCCTGTCATCCTCCTGGTCCAGCTCCTCCGCCTCTTCCTCCTCGGCATCCGCTTCTTCATGCTGCTGCTCCTTTTCATCCTCCAGATTCCCCCCGCTGCCCTCTTCCTGCTCCTCACCCTCCTCTTCCCGCCAAACCCGCTTCCTCCTTCTCCTCCTACTCTTCTCGCGCCCCACCTCCTTCCCCCTCCTCTCCCCGACTTCCCCCATGCCCTATTCCCGCAGTTCCTCTCTCACCTCTGTCTCTCCTCCCCTCCCTTCTCCTCCTCCTCATCTGCCTCCTCCTCTGCCTCCCCCTCCTCCTCCTCTTCCTTCTCCTCCTACTCTTCCATTGCCTTTCCTTATCGATGGCTCCTCCCTCTCGCACCTCGAGGCCGGTCGAAATGGTGGGCAGGGCGTTTCGCCTGAGACTTCTGCATCATTCATGATCCTAGAGCTAAGGGTTGGCAATAGGTTCGCAAAAGAAGGGCGGGTGGTTTTCAACATATGACTCTCGCCCTAGCGCCGCGCACATTCGTTAAACAAAACATGCAAGAGTTTCACGGATTGAAGGCGGGGGCCGTTTTCAGAATGTGGTTCTCAGCATGGCGCCGCACACATCCGTTTCGGATTAAGAGAGTACCGTGATCCGCATGTGTTTTTTGCGCTAGCGCCGCGCACATCCGTTATCAACAATTGCAAGAGCTTCACGGATTGAGGGCGGGCCGTTTTCACAATGCGGTTCTCGCCTTAGGACCGCGCGCATTTGCTTTAACACATTGCAGGTTTCACGGGTTAATGGCGGGTCGTTTTCAAAATGTGGTTCTCGTTGCAGCGCCGCGCACATTCGTTTTGAACATTTGCAGGAATTTCAGTGGTTCCCTTGGGTAACGTACCAGAAATTGGCGTTTTGGAGCGGTTCAGGATTGTCGTTCCGCAACAGTTACGCTGACTCGCGGTGTTGAAATCCCAGGAATGGCGCTCTGGCGCGATTCAGGGTCTTCAAGACGCTCAGCCAGGTTAACTCGTGGCGTTGGACGGTCGTCCGCCTACGGGGCCAGCCTTTCATTGGAGATAAACCCTTGTAGGGGCCTATGAGGAGGGAGCTTGGGGAGAGGGTAGATTCCGACATCGTTGGTGAGCCTTGGATTCACATTGGTCTTCTTCCTCCTCCTCCTCCTCGTCCTCCTCCTCCTCCTCGTCCTCCTCCCCCTCAAAGAGGCCGACGAGGCCGACGCGCGCGCCCGCAACGCGCGGGTGCACGCCATGCTTGCTGACGGCACCAGGTCGGCCGCGCTTGTCGTCGTCGTCGTCGTCGTCGTCGGTGTCGTCGTCGTCGTCGTCGCCGTCGTTGTCGTCGTCGTCGTCGTCAGGGTCGCCGCCGCCGCCGTCGTTGTCGTCGTCGTCGTTGTCGTCGTCGTCATTGTCAGCGTCGCCGCCGTCGTCGTCGTCGTCGTCAGCGTCAGCGTCAGCGTCGTCGTCGTCGTCAGCGCCGCCGCCGCCGTCGCCGTCGTCGTTGTCATCGTCTGCGTCAGCGTCAGCGTCGTCGTCGCGGCCGCCGCCGCCGCCGCCGCCGTTGCCGCCGCCGTCGTCGTCGTCGTCGTCGTCGTCGTCGTCGTCGTCGTCGTCGTCGTCGTCGTCATCTGCGTCATCGTCGTCGTCAGCTTCGCCGCCGTCGTTGTGGAGGAGTTTCAAGGATCGAAGTTATTGCGTTGAGGGTTTTTGACGTTGTTGGGCCTCGTTGGGGTTCTGCGAGGTGGCTGGTGGCCACGGCTGTGTCCGCTTCGGAACCTTGGCCAGAGCAGACGCTTGGACAGGTTTCGGGGTCACCGCCGTCGTCGTCATCGCCGCTGTCGTCAACGAAGTTGTCGTGGCCGTCGGACTCGAACGAGGACTTCGTTTTCTTCTCCTCCTCCTCCTCCCTCTCCTCCCCCCATTGTCCTTCGTGTCCTCCTCCTCCTCCTCCCTCTGCTCTGACTCCCCACTCCCTCCCGATGATGATAATGATGATAATGACGATGATGATGATGATGATGATGATGATGATGATGAGGAAGAGGAGGAGGATGAGGATGAGGATGAGGACGAGGACGAGGATGAGGATGATGATGATGATGCTGATGATGCTGATGATGATGATGATGATGATGGTGATGATGATGATGATGAAATAGAGGATGAGGATGAGGATGAGGATGATGGTGAAGATAATGGTGGTGGTGATGATGATGATGGTGATGATGAGGATGAGGATGTGGATGCGGATGAGGATGAGGGTGATGATGATGCTGATGAGGATGATGATGCTGATTTAGATGATGATGAGGAGGAGGAGGATGACGATGAGGAGGAGGAGGAGGAGGAGGTGGAGGAGGAGGAGGAGGCGGAGAGGGAGGAGGAGGAGGAGGAGGAGACGAGCAGCGCGGCGACAGCGCTGGCGCGAGTGCTCACGGTAAATAATTCTCTGTTGTTTCTTGGAACCTCCGATGGCGGAGTGCATTCAGGGTCCAACGGGTCTACGGTGACAGGCATTGGAGCACGCGCCGCAACGGGATGAGCTTGTCGTGGTCCATGTGGAAGTGTGAGTTCGTCGTCTCGGTCGATGATTCAGCCAGCGCGCAATGCGTGAACACACTTGCAGATCCCGACGGCCTGTCGATCGGCCTTCAGCCGCTTCGACGATCGGGCGATGATATTCGCGTCGTTGCTCAGGAGGAGCGTTGCAACAGGGTGTTAGCCCTCGTAGCATATCAGGCTGCTTCTCTTGGAAGGGGCACCAGAAATTGTACCGATGGCAACCGCGCATTTCGAGACTTCGCTGTGCCGTGTCTATTTTCGATGGCTGTGCCGTGTGATGCGGCCAGTCTGGCGGTTTTGTCGAGTGCGACCGCGGTCCGACGTAGAACATATTTTCAGTAGTCAGGGTGGAGCTCCATTTTGCGACGCTGGGAGTCTGCGATCAACTGTAGATATTCTTTCTTTTCTCTGGCCAAAAGCTTGCAAGCGACGCGCGTCGCCGTGTAGTCGGCAGGCACGCGCCGTGCCCTCGGTGCCCCAGCGAGCTGGCGGGGTGCGTGCACTCTTCGCACAGTTGGCCCCCCCATCGCTGGCCGGTCGTTTCTCCAGTGCACGCTGTGGGGCAGCAGCGCCCTGGCGATTCACAGTCCTCGAGAAAGCGCAGTCATCGTCGCCACGTGGCTGTGACGAAAGGAGAACTATCGTATCGTAGATGCAGCGGGCACGAGGGTTAAGAACTATCCTAGCCTTGGAAGGGTACCCCGCGCACACCGCGCGCCAGGGAGGGGGTTCCAGCGCCGATGCGAGAAATCCGCGCGGAGCTCCGAAGGTGCATGCGCGTACAGTTGTTTGTTTCTCTGGTGAGCGTGAGCGCCGCCGCGCGGAGAGGCTCGACCCAGAGCTCGGGGGGGAGAGACGGAGTAGCAACCGCACCGCGCCGCTGGGGGGCCGTCGGCGTGCTGCCCCCTGGCTTCCGTCCCGAGGCCTGGTGCTCCTCCAGCGGCAACGCGCTGATCGTCTCCCCGCGGCGGCGTGTGGTTGACACCGTCGCCTGATCTCCGCCGATGCTCGGCGGGGCCCTTTGCCTCCTCCCCCCCCTCCTCCTCCTCCGGCCGTCCTGCGCTTGTTCCACCCGCCCTGGTGCGCCCAGAGTCCGGGGCGCGGCCCGTCGGCTCTCCACAGTCGCGCTGGCGCCCGCGGCGCACAAAAAGTTACCGACGCGGTGTTCCCTCCTCCGTTGGACGCTGTACGCAAAGAAGCGCCGCGCCGCGCGGAAGTCCCCGACCCGGAGATTCCGGCCGCCTGGTCTGGGCCTCCTGGCCGGGGGCATGAGTAGTAGCAGGCGGGTCGCAGGAACGCGCCGCAGCACCGGTGCATCGGCGATGCGGCTCGATGTAGACCTTCCTTTTCTCCACGTCGGCGTCGCCGATACGTCGCCGACGTCGCTGATACATCGCCGATGCGTCGGTGATGCATCGACGACGCGACGCGATCCTCCGACCCCATCGTTTCTCCTTTCTAACCCCATCTGGGAGGCTTCTAGCGGAGGATTCCCCGAGCCGTGCGGATTCTTGGAGGGCCCGTTGGCCTGGAACTTGGCACAGGTGCCAGTCATGGCCCTAACACGACGCCCGGGTCTGGGGTTCGTGCGCGCGTTGGGCGCAGAGAGTGCGGGGAGCAGGAAGAGGAGCAGGGAGAGGAGCAGGAAGAGGGGGAGAAAGAAGAGGAGGGAGAGGAGTAAGAAGGGAAGTGGGAAGAGGAGTAGGGAGATTAGCAGAAGTAAGAGCAGGAATAGTAGTATGGAGATCATGAGCACGGCAACCAAGACAAACAGCGAAAGGAATGAGGAGCCCACAGCGTCTCTCACTTCTGCCGGCGCTGCAGGCCCCACGAGGGCGATCTCACCTTTGGCGACAGCGGCGAAGACGCGCGATGGCCCCCATCGAGGCCGAGCCCTCATTGGCCGCATCTTCTCTTTCTCTCGTTTTCTAAAGGCCTGAATCTCTGTATCCTTAAACCGACCCCTATCCCCATCCCCATCCAGAGCCCCGCCATCTCAGCACCCCAGTTGTGGATATACCTTTCGAAATCCGAAGGAAACGGCCCACATCCCCGTCCAGGCGGTGAATCGGCGTGTGGGGCACAGGCCACGCCCGTGGGGATAGGAGTCGGTGAAACGATGCTCACAATCACATGCCGGACGGCCAGATGCTTACTGCATATTGCAAGTGTGAGTTTCTCTCCGAGTGTTCTACCGTTTCTCCTGCAGAACGATCGATTCTTCTTTGCTCCTGCTCTTCTGCTCCCTGCTCCCTCCATCCTTGCCGGCTGGCCCGCTCGCTGGCCAGCTGACCGACACAGAGCGATATACATTATATATATATATATACACGGGGATAAAAAACAGAAAGGGTTCGCCCCCTGCCGCCGGCTCCTTCTATATCATAATGGGAAATAACAGGGTCGCGTCGGTGCGTCTCGGCGCTGCCTTTGCGAGTCTGGGAACAGCATGCGGGGGCGGATAGGAATCATCAGCGCATATTGAAACGTTGGCGTTATCGAAGACGCCTATGGCCATATGGCGAATCCCCGCCGCCCCCTGCCACTGGAAGCGCCTATGTGGCCAACAGCTGGGCTAGAGCTTGGCCAAGCTATCGGGCCAGTTGTTCCCGGAGTCGGTTTGGAAAGCTTTCGGGGAACGCGTGGGGGAGCAACCAGAAGAGGGTCAGGAGAGGGAGGAAGATGATGATTAGGAGGAGGAGGAGGACGAGGAGGAGGAGGATGAGGATGATGGGGAATGAGGAGGAGTAGGAGGAGGAGACTTCTTGGGAACCGTCTTGCGAGGCGTCTTGGGAGGCCTCTGCGGAGCTTCCTGGGGGCCCTTTGGAGGCCTCTTGGGAGCCTCCCTGGGCCTCTAGGGGGCTTCTTGGGGCCCTCTTTTGCCGTCTGAGGGCGTTCCAGACCCATCTGACACCGTCGGAAGCCGTCTTGGGGGCCTCTCTGAACCGACTTGGGGCTCGCTTGGGGCGCTTCAGGGCCGTCTTGGAGAGTGTCGTGGACGTCTTGGAGGTCGCCGTCTTGGGGGCCTCTTGGGACGTCATGCGGCCATCTTGGAGGCCTCTTGGCCGATCTAGGGGCGACCTTGGCGACCTCTTGCGCCGTCTTGGGCAGTCGGAAGGCCGACAAGGCGCAAATGCCCAAATCTTTCGAAAACATAAGGGTAATCAATGATTTGGGCCTCTTCTGGCCTTCATGGAGGAACTCTTGGAGGCCTCTTGGGCCGTCAGGGAGGCCTCTTGGCGGCCTCTTGGGCCATCTTGAGGCCATCTTAGGCCGTCTTGGGTGCAGCTTGGGCCGTCTTGAATGCATCCTGGGGCCATCTCAGCTGTCTTGGAGGCCATTTTGGCCATCTCGGAGGCCTGTTGGGGCCCTCTGGGGGCCGTCTTGGGGGCCTCTTGGCCGTCATGGGGCCATTTTGGAGGCCCCGTGGGCGATCTTGGGGCGATCTTGGGGCCCTCTTGGGCCGTCTTGAGCCGTCGGAATGTCGAAAAAGAGCAAATGCCAAAATCATGAAAGCCGCGATTCGGTTCGGGTCGGCTCGGTTCGATGCGCGCCTGGTTCAGTTCGTCCGGTTCGGCTCGCGTGGCAGACCGGTTCGGTTCGACCGGTTCGGTTCGCGTCGCAGACCGGTCCGGTTCGGCCGGTTCGGTTCGCCCAGTTCGCTTCGGCCGGTTCGGTTTGTTTTTTCCGACCGGGCCTGTTCGGCCGATTTGGTTCGGCCGGTTCGAGTCGATGCAGACACGGTCGTCTTAGAGTTCCGCACACCGGTTGGTTCGTTTGCGTCGCCGTCGCTTGGAATCGGTCGGTTCGGTCGGTTCGGTCAATGCGGAGCCCCTGCGTCGTCGCCTTCTCGTCGATTGCTTCGGTTGTTTCGGTTGCTTCGGTTGCTTCGATTGCTTCGGTTTCGCCGCCACTCGCTCCTCTGTGTCATCACCCTTATCGTCCTGCGGGTCATCGTGCCTGCTCCTCTTCCTCCTCCTTCTCCTCCTTCTCCTCCTCCCCGCCGCCCTTCTCACTCATTACGTGTGATCCTTCATCCTTCATCCCTCTGTCGCTATCCTCAGCAGCAGCTTCGCTGCCAACGGATTTGCGCCGATCCGACTCCGTTGATCCTTTCCCGTTGAACAGAGGAGGAGGAGGAAGAGGAGGAGGAAGAGGGAGGAAGAGGAGGAGGAGGAGGAGAAAGGAGGGAGGAGGAGGAGGAGGAAAGGGAGGAGGGAGGAGGGAGGAGGGAGGAATAAACAATGAGGAGGGCGGAAGGTGGACCCGACGTCGTCGGGCGCTGAAGGGACCCCTGCACTTCTCGACCCCTTTCCCCGTGGATGTTTCCATGTTTTCTTCCGTGGCCCCGGGATCCGGAAACGGCCTCCCGAGGCCGCCGCCGCCCCGTCGTCGTCGTCGCGTTGCTGCCGCGCTGCTGCCGCGCTGCTGCGGCCTCTTGGCTCCGCGGCCAGCCCCGACGGGGCCGTGACAAGAGCCCCGACAGGACTTCTTGCACCGCAGGTGCTGCGGAGTGCGTTCGAGGCCCCTCAACACTGGCACGGGCCCCCCCCGAACCGGCGCAAGGAGCTGGGGACGCGACCCCGACACACACACACACACACACACACACACACACACACACACACACACACACACACACACACACACACACACACACACACACACACACACACACACACACACACACACACACACACACACACACACACCACACACACACACACACACACACACACACACACACACACACACACACACACACACACACACACACACACACACACACACACACACACACACACACACACACACACACACACACACACACACGCACACAACACACACACACACACACACACACACACACACACACACACACACACACACACACACACACACACACACACACACACACACACACACACACACACACACACACACACACACACACACACACACACACACACACACACACAAAAAAAGGTTCAGTTTGCGATTGAGTTTTCCTTGTGGCGACCTCGAAACAGAAAGTCCAGGGCGGCCTGGCGCCCCCCCCCCCGCCTGTGGCCCTGGGAAAACAGTTTCTTGGAGCTCGACAAATCGATTCCGTTGTGCTCAGGATTCGGGGGCCGCTCGAGGAGAGTCTTGGCCCGTGTGGGTTCGGATGGGCCCGAAAAACATTTTCCCCGCGCGCGAAAAATCGATTTCTTGTCCGAGCTGGTTCTGGTGACGTCATTTGGGCCGCAGGTGCTGCGGGTTGCGTTTGGGCACCCCCAAACTGGCGTCGGACCTCCCGGGGCCGCCCTCCCCGATCAGGCGCAAGGGGCGGGGGAACCGCGACCCCGACATACCCCCAAAAAGCTTCAGTTTGCGATGAAGTTTTTTGGAGGGCGACCTCGAAACATAAAGTCCAGGGCGGCCTGGCGCCCCCCTGACACTGGCCCCGAGAAAACGATTTTCCGGAGCTCGAAAAATCGATTCCGGCGCGCTCAGGATTCGGGGGCTTCTTGAGGGGAGTCTTGGCCGGTGGGGTCGGAGGGGCCCGAAAATCAATTTTCCGGAGCGCGAAAATCAATTTCTCGTCCGGGCTTGTTCTGATCCACGCGTTTGGCATCGGACCCCCCGATTCGGTGTTCGTCCGGTTCGGTTCCGCCGGTTCGGTTCGGCCGGTTCGGTTCGCCTGGTTTGGTTCGGTTCGGCCGGCTCGGTTCGGCGGGTTCGGTTCGTACCGCCGGCCTGTTCGGTTCGGCCAGTTTGGTTTGGCAGGCCGGTTCGGTTCGGCCGGTTCGGTTCCAGACTTGGTTCTCGGTTCTCGGTTTGGTTCGTGGTCATCGTGCAAAGTTGTGCCAAAACCCCCAAATAATATATGATTTTGATATCTTCGGGTCCTTCTGGGGGACCTATTGGAGGCCTCTTGGGCCGTCAGGGAGGCCTCTTAGGGGCCTCTTGGGCCGTCTTGGGCCATCTTGAGGCCATCTTAGGCCGTCTTGGGTGCATTTTGGGCTGTCTTGAAGGCATATTGGGGCCATTTTACCGTCCGTCTTGGAGGCCATTTTGGCCGTCTCGGAGGCCTCTTGGGGCCCTCTTGGGGCCGTCTTGGGGGCCTCTTGGCCCGTCATGGGGCCATATTGGAGGCCTTGTGGGCGATCTTGGGGGCCTCTTGGGCCGTCTTGAGCCGTCGAAATGCAGCAAAACACAAATACCAAAATCCGTCGAAAACCTTTGGGACATCAGAAATGATGGTCTCTTCGTGTCCTCCTGGCGGACCTATTGGATGCCTCTTGGGCCGTCTTGGGCCGTCTTGGAGGCCTCTGGGGCTGTCTTGGGCCGTCTGAGAGGTTTCTTGTGCGAACTTGAAGGCTTCTTAGACTCCTGGGCCGTCTTGGATGCCATCTTGGACCACCTTGGGCGAACCTGGAGGCCATCTTGGAAGCCATCTTGGAGCCATCTGGAGCGGGAAAAACTTTTGGAACCATCCTTTCCTGGCCATCCAGGGCCCTCTTGCGGGCGGGGCCGAAACCCCAGGGGGAGTTCATTTGCAAAAGAACCAAAACCAAGCCGGGCACCCATGTGATGAATCAACAGGGGGCGGCGGATCCTAGAGGCCTCCGGCCCATCCCGCCACCGTGCCTGGGTTGTGGGTCCGAGGCCTTTTGTATATGTGTATATGTGTTGGGTGTCGTGGGGAGCTCGGGACCCTCTTGGAGGCGGTTTGGGCGCCTCTTGGGGGCCTCTTGGGGCCTCGTGGGGTTCTGTTGGGCTTCTTGGAGGCCTCTTGGGCGCGTCCTGGGCGCTTTTTGGGGCCTCAGGAGATCGTGGCCTCGGGGGCGCGAGCGTGGCGTAATTACAGGGGATCGCGGCCTCGGGGGCGTGAATGTGGTGCAATTTACAGGGGAGCGTGGCCCCAGAAACGCGAATGTGGCGTAATTTAGAAGGAGTCGTGGCCTCAGAGGCGTGAGTACGGTGTTGATTACGAGGGATCGTGGCCTCGGGGACGCGAGCACAGCATAATTTACGAATGATCTTGGCCTCGGGGGCCGTAATTTACGATGGGTTATTGTGTCGGGAACGCGGATCTCACGTATTTTTAGTGTCCCGCGGCCCCGCATAAATTCTGAGGATTGATTCGGGGGTGCAAACAAAAATGGTTTTATCCCCCCCCTCTCGCGTGGACAGTAACAGTTTATAGTAAGAACAAAGGAGCAATATTGTAACATAGGAAACTGGAACTGGTGCAGGGAGCAGCGAACTCAATCCTCGCAGCCAGATGGCCCCGCAAGGGGGCCAGTCGAGAGATACATATTCATGTATTATATACGTGTGTATATATATGTATATATATATATATACTCGAGAGAGAGAGAGAGAGACAAAAAAGAAAGAGACGGATAGAGAAAGAGAGAGAGAGAGAAAGAGAGAGAGAGACCGAGAGATGCAGATACTGACAGAGATGCAATACAGGAATCCTGGGATCTAGCATGGAGGCTCCTAGTGACGAGTTCCAAGCCCATGTGGGACCAGACGCCAGACCGATCCACGGTGTCTGCAGGTTTCAGTCTTGTGGTCCAGCCACCCTAGTGGTGTAGACCGCGTGTCGACCGCACCGCCACAGCGTGGTGGTGCGGTCGACACGCGGTCTCCACCAGGGTACGCCGTGCTCCCGAGCTTGCGAGGTCGACCGACCGATCGTGGGACAGAGTGCACATCGACCCGCCCGCCGACCGAGCGAGCGGCCTCCCGGGCGTGACCGTGGGGTGCTGCTGGCCGGCCAGAGTGGCCGCGACGGCGCCCCGCGGCCGCGGCCAGGTCCACCGCAGGGCCGCGACGATGACCGGGAGCCGCGCCGCCTCGCGGCCCGGGCCACGCAGCTGCCCTTCTTGTGGCCAGGCAGGCCCGAGACGTTGATGGACCTGTTTTCCACCACCACCACCACCATAAGTTGGAGGGGGGAAGAAGGTGGAGGAGGAGGAGGAGGAAGAGGAGAAGAGGAGGAGGAGGAGGAGGAGGAGGAGGAGGAGGAGGAGGAGGAGACCCTCCCCCTCCCACTCATGGTGGTGGTGGTGGGAAACAAGCCCATCAAGACGTGGCCACGTCGCTCCAGAGCGGTCCGGCACGCTCTGCAGTGGCCGCGGCGCCCGACGGATGCCCCGGGCCTCCGCTGGCTCTCGGAGAGTGCCGAGGCATCCCAGCCCGGCCTCGTCCCGTCTCCTGCCCCGAGTCCTGCGGGCTCGGTTTGAGCGCTCGCGGGCGTTTCGCATGCCGGTGCGGCCCCGCGTGCGCCACGCGGGCCGATCTTGCCGCCGCCCCGCTCCCGCGAGCCCAAGCACCTGAGGGACACGGGCGCGGGACCGCCTGCAGGGCTGCGCCCCCAGTCATCCGAGGTCTTGATCTTTCTCAGTGCGGGGTCTGGGGAAGCTGGGAGTCCCGAGCCCCAGGGCCGATTTGCATCTTGAGCTGTCTTTTGATGGCCCGGGGCCCGGCTGAAGAAGCGGCCAGACGTTTACCGCCGTGTCTTTTTCGCTTGGACGCGAGCATGTCTAGGTCCTGGTCCTTGCCCTGCCCTGGTCGGGCGGGGCTAGGACGAGGATCAATCCGATCCAGAGCTGTCCTGAACGCGCTCAGAACGTTCTGGGACGGCCGCGGTGCCCGATACATCCTTCAGACTCGCCGGTTCTCAGAGATTTCCGGTGTATCCTTGTCCGAATGTGTCCTCGTTCTGGCTTCGTCCTACTTGGGTCTCCGTCGCCCCAGGCCGCCGCGGCGCAGCGCGAGGAAGCGCGAGCCCGCGAGGCCCGGGCGGAGAGTATCAGCGAGGGGACCTCGCCGCGGCTGCGCCAGTCGGGGCGCGTGGCCCCGGCCGCGGGGCTGCGCCGCGCCAGGGGGGTCCTCTCCGCCTGGGGTGGGGCAGAAGCGCCGTGGCAGCAGAAGCCCGACGCTGCATGCACCAAGAGGTCCGACGCATTGACAAAAATCAAGGCGGAGGTTTTTCGCAATCTTCGGCCTCTAGGGGCCCTCGCCGGGCCCCGGGACCGTCAAAGAACGACTCAGGATGAAAAACTTGTCCTGGGAAATAGGTCGAGACTTCCGGGGTCCCCGTATTGAAAAAAACACGACATCGGATCTTTTGGTATCTAGGCCTCCCAAATCGGGTCCGAGTCGATGGGGTCGAACGATTGCTTCGCATCGCCGATGCATCGGCGATGCGATTCGATGTGGAGCCCGATTCTCTCCACGCCGGCGTCGCCATGTATCGCCTATGCATCGCGCCGATGCTTCGGCGGTGTATTGGCGATGCGGCGCGATCCTCCGACCCCATCTGCTCGGATCCCATTTCGGAGGCCTCTGGAATGGGCACTGTCTTCGAGGATCGAAGGAGTTGGCATCTCTTCGTCGGCGGAGGGTTGGCGGAAGCCGGCGGAAGTGAGACGATCGAGGGCGGCTACGTCGGCGGAAGGCTGGTGGAAGCTGGCGGAAGTAAAAGATGCGCTCCCCAAGAGATGGCACCGTTGTTTGGTTCATGGTTTCTGGAACCCGCCCGCCACATGTGCGCCTACACTCGTGGCGGACGAAAGGGGGGGATTGGGAAAGGGGGGGTTACGAAATTTGCTGCATGCAGCTGGTTTCGGCCCCACCGAGGGGCCCATTCCTCGATACATAGCCGCCTCTGGGGCCGGGAGGCGCCGGGAAAATCAGCTACGTGAGCTGATTCTCACCCCCCCCTTTGCTATCCCCCCCTTTCGCCCGACCCGATACACAGCTGCAGGCCTCCTCCCGAAAGCCACCAGGCCACGAGACGGATCGACGTCGGGGCGCAAGCGCCCACATGGACTTCACCCTGCAGGCCCTCCGGCCTCAGAGGATGTTCGGGCCCCCCCCGGGGGCGCCCTGCGCGCGCGCGGAGGCGGGATGCCCGTCGGAGGCCCCCTGCGCAGCGGGAGAGCCGACGACGGCGACGACGACGACGACGACGACGACCACGACGACAACACAACGACGACGACGACGACGACGACGACGACGACGGCGACGACGTCGACGCAACCTCGTCGCTGGGCCTTCGGGGGCTTCTCGCGCGCCCTTCGGCGTGGGCCCTCGGCGCGCGGCCTCCTCGAGGCCCTCGATGCCCGTGGCCGCTCGGCGCTGTAGAGGGCCCCGCGCGCTCCCCCCACTCGCGCTGGAGCACGGGGCCCGTCGTGCTGCGGCCTTCCGCGTATACGTCTTGGAACGGCTGCTGCCGATGCCGACCTATTGACGACGGACGGGCGGGCGGGCGGAAGGGCGGACGGGCGGACGGGCGGACGACGGACGACGGACGACGGCGACGGCGACGACGACGACGACGACGACGACGACGGCGGCGACGGCGGCGGCGACGGCGACGGCGACGGCGACGACGGCGGCGACGACGGACGACGGCGATCCTCGAACTGCGGCGGTGGGCCTTCGGAGGCTTCTCGCGGGCCCTGGGCCTGGGCCCCATGGCGCGCGGCCGCACGGGCTGCCGAGGCGTCTCGAGGCCCGCGCGGGCTGCGCCCTCCTGCGTGCGAGCGGACGGACGGACGGGCGGGCGGGCGGCGCGGAGACGACGGACGGCGGCGAACGGCTGACGGACGGCGGCGGGCGACGGACGGCGGCGGCGTCGGCGCCGCCCGCGCAGGCGCCAGGAGCACGGCGAGGGCCTGGAGACGCATGGTGCCGCGTGGTCGGCGCAGGAGCGGTCCATGCGGGAGCACGAGCGGACCGCCGCCCGCCGCCGCGGGGGGCCGTCGGGGGCGCCTGCGCGCCAGCGGCTGCGCCGGCGGCTGCGCCTGCGTGCGCGCGCGCACGCCTGCGCCCCCGCATGCGCCCCCGCACGTGGGCCTTGAGAGGCCGTCGGAATGCCCCCTGACTTACTCGGGTTCTCCGTTGGCTCAGAGATGGGGTCCTGAGGGACAGGGTCCCAAGGATAGGACGGGATCCAAGGCTAGAATCACACTGCTTGAGGCACCTCGTCCTTTGGACCCCACCCCTGAGGAACCCATCTGAAAATCACCACGCTTAGTAACCGTTAGTCGTTCTTACGACCGCCTCCCAGGAGTTGCTTCCTAACTCCTTCCCCACTCCTCCCCGCCTAGAGTTACCCCCCTGAGCCGGACCGCCCTGAGCCGGTCCCGCAGCTGTATGTTCCCCCCCGCCTGAGCAGGTCCCCCCATAATCGTTTTTCCCCCTTCACCGCTCCCCACAGGACGATCGTAGACCTCGTCGACAGCCTGGGACTCGCGGAGCAGTGGGGCGCAGACCAGGAGGCCGCCGCCGCCGCCGCCGCCGCCGCCGTCGTCGTCGTCGTCGTCGTCGTCGTCGTCGTCGTCGTCGTCGTCGTCGTCGTCGGCATCGTCGTCGGCGTCGTCGTCGTCGGCGTCGTCGACGTCGTCGTTGTCTCTTCCTTTTTCCTCTCCTCTTCCTCCGCCTCCTCCTCCTTCTTGTCCTCCCCCTCCTCCTCTCTCCTCTTCCCCTCCCGGCGAGTTGCCTTGTTTCGGGCCCCCAGACCCTCACGGATCGATCCGCCTCGTCCCCCGCCCTCTCTCGCTTGCCTCCGCGGGGGAGAGTGTATGGGCTTTCGCCAAGCACCTCAGGCCCTCTTGGACGCTGCTGACTGAGAGGCTCGCGCCTCGTAGGCCTCCCCACGGCGCCCTCGCCCGCACGAGCTGGCTGCGGCGCCAGCCCTGGGAGATCATAAGCGCAAATCCCCACCCCCACCTCCCCCCCCTCCGCCTCCCTCGCCCTCCGCCTCCATCGCCCCCCCCCTTTCCCTCCGCCTCCGCGTCCATCGTCCTCCCTCGACCTCCGCCTCCGCCTTCCTTGCCCTCCCTCCGCCTCCGCCTCCCTCTAGGCCGCCTCCCGAGCCCTCGAGGCCACACCTCCATTTGGGTATGCAACCCCTGGCAGGTTCATTCCGAATCGGCGCTGGTATATCCCTGATCGGAAACGGCCCGAATCTGGCTTAATCTCGTGTCGTCCGGCACAGTCCCTCTTACTCCGGCGTAGTCCCAGGCTGAATCCGGCTCAACCCTGTGTTTAATCTGGCCTACATCTGACTCAACGGCCTCTTAATCTGGCTCCATAGCACTTAGTCGTTCTGGCGAAGACCTTCCATGAGGTGCTTCCTGTCTTCACCCCTCCCGCCTCCCTCGCTCCTCCCTTCCTCCCCAGACCCCCCCGAAAGGTCTCGACCCACTCCCCATGACCGGTTTCCCATCCTGAGCCGTTGTTTGACCGTCCCGAGGCCCGGTAGGGGCCCACAGAGGCCGAAAACAGCGACAAATTTCCCGCTGTGACTTTTTCATGACTCGAGGGGGTCTGAGTCCTCCAGGCCGCCGCCGCATAGCAGCGGGGCGCTCGCAGCCCGTGTGCGCGCTGGGCCACCACCCGCCGCCCGCGCGAGGGCAACCTCCTCCGCCTCCCCGTCCCTCCCTTCTGGCTTCCAGGCCACCCGCGGGGTCGCGGATCCGTCCTCCCTCTCGCAGACAAGAAGCACAAGCTTCTCGCCGATCGGCTTCATCATGCTGTGGTTCACCCTTCTCCTGTTCAGAATGCTGGGGAGCTCTGTCTGCGCGATCTCCTCGAGGGCAAGGAAGGAGCTCTCACCATCGATTACGGAGAAGGTGTCCTTGGACTGCTCGCCACAGAATATGAGTTTTCCCCCGACGACATCAAGCAGCTCGAGCGGCGCAAGAAGAAGTTCGAGGCCAGTGTCGCTGCCGTTACCAAGCAGTTGTTCGCTAAGGTCCAGGAGTCGGTTGATAAGATCAAGGCCTCCCATCGAGTGCACATGGCCAAGTTGCACAAGCGTAGGCCTGAAGATCCTGACGGCCCGCCTGCAGAGAAATCTGCTCGCGCAGCAGGAGATTCAACAGTTGTACACCCTGGAGAACGTGATGGTGCTGCCGCCGCCTCCGACGGAGGAGCAGCGGCCGCCAGCGGCGCAGCAGGCTCCCAGGAGGGGGCCAGCGCCAGCGGGGCGGCCCCGCTCGTCGACGTGCGGCTGCTCGCCCAGCAGGTCCTCGGCAGCTGATCCTCAGCCTCAATACGCACCCCCCGCCGTCTCCTGAGGCCCAGTCGGGCGAGACGTCGGGGGGTGCACAAGTTGATGTTTCCCCTGCCATCGCTAGGCTTTGCCGCCTTCCCGCCCCCAAGGTTCCGTCCTTGAATTTTGGCAGTGGTCTCTGGGCCCCAGCTTGCTCGGATCTCGACAATTTTGATCTGGTCGTGGAGACAGCTAACTGCACAGGGTGGAGTACTGCAAAAGCCTGGTTGAGTCGTTCCGCGGCTCATGTCGTTCTCCTTCAAGAACTCCACTTCCTGGGTGACCAAGTTAGGGAGGCCTCTCAGTGGGGCCTGCGCTCTGGTTGGGGGTCCAGGATTGTCCCAGCGGCCCCAGGCATTTGGCTAGGGACCTCGGGTGGTGTTGGTATTTTCGTCAGGGACTTCTTGGGGTGCCGCGATTTCTCGCGGAAGGAGGGCCCGATGTTAGTCCCTCACCGTGCTGTTTCAGCTGTTGTTCAGATTCCTGGTGGAGTCTCTATGCTGGTGGTCTCTGCGCATCTGAAGGACTCTGAGGGGCCCTCGGAGTTAAACATGGGTGTCCTGTGCAAGCTCGGTGCCGCTCTGTCTTCCTTCCTGGCCCATTCACTTGGGGGCCGGCTTTCAGATGGAGCCAGAGGTTCTGGCCGCGTGTGATTTAGTGTCGGTGCTCGGTGCCAACCTCGTGGTTCCCGACTCTCAGGGCACCTGCACTGGCACCAGTAAAGACGGAGTGCGCATGCTCGGCTACTTTCTACTTTCCAGTGGGCTGTCCCAGGCGGTCAAGTCCACCCGCGTCTGCCTCGAGTCGGCCACGAAGCCGCACAAACCTGTGGAGATGAGTTTCTTTCCCCAGCTGGCTGACCTCCAGGCTTTGGGATTAGCCAGCCCACTTTCCATCCCTGTCGAACCTGTTATTGGCCCCGCCCCTTCCCCTCAAGACTGGGGTGTTGCGCTGGACTGCGCGCCCCACGGTTTGGGGTTAGCTCGCAGCCAGGTCCCCCGAAAGCGTTTGTAGAGACACCTCAACACGTTGTATCGTCTCTGGGCTGACACCGCCGAGCTGGAGCTGGTGGCAGACCGCCAGTGCACCCTCCTTGTGTTAGGTTCCCGTGGTAGGTTACCTGAACTTACATGGCGTTCCGCGGTTGGCAAGGACCGTCGGGCGGCGCGCCAGCCTGAACTTGTTGGAGTTCGTTTCTTCGAGAACACGTTCAGGATTTGCCGTGCCAGCCTCGCTTCCGCCGTCAAGGGCTCGGCGCTCGAGGCTGGCCACTTCCTCCTGCACCCTGCCACGGTGATGTTGGATAGCTTGGATGTTTGCAGGGGCAGCTTCGACAAGGTGCAACCTGGTGTCCGTCGTTGTCCCTATAGTCACTTTATCTCTTGCCATCGGGCTATTAGTGGTCAGGAAGTTCCTGGAGACGAGGTTGTCGGGTTTGTCTCGGATGGGGCCCTCCCCCTGACAGAGATCTCGGAGCTCCTGGGTGATTCCTCGGTCAAGCAGCGGGACCTGGCCAACAAGTCTTGGAAGTGCTGGATCCTCGAAGGCGTCGCGAAAGGGGCTCGTCGTGCTCGCTGGTGGGCCATGGAGGTTGCCCCATGGACCGCCCATGGACCCCCTCGTCTACGCTTTCGGCCAAGGCGTTGTCTCATCAGATCCCTGGTCTCTGCTTGAGTCGGAGGCCGCCCGTTTCTGTGGATTGTGGAAGGCCACCAGAGAGCGCCCTGCGCAGGATCCCATTGTGTATCATGAGCCTCTGCCGTTCGAGCCTCCCGACGCGCTGCGCGAGGTCCCCAAGTCGTGCCCCGCTCGTGCGGCCACCAGTGAGGATGGCTTCCATGCGCGTCAGTTTGCTGCTCCCTCGGATGGTGGGCCGGTTGCTGTGATGAGTATCTACAGGATCATGGAAGCCTCTTCCCTCCTTCCCAACCACCTCCGCACCGCCCTTGTCGTTGCTTCCGGAGCCAGCTGGAGGGTGGAGACCCATCGGCTTATGCAGTTCAGCTCATCGGCTTGCGGGTCGTCTACGCCGGCCGTTTGCAGCGTTGTGGGAATCGCGTCCCAACGAGCCTTATTTGAGCGCAGACGCTTTCACTGGGGCGGGGGATGTCGCACGGCGTCAAGCTGCGAAGTCCGAGAGAGCTACGGGCAGGAAGGGGGGCAACGGAGTTGCTGGCACCGTGCTGTGAGACTTGCACATGGTCTATGCGTCCATCCGACTCGACATACTCCAGCGGCGGTGCGACGATTTAGATTTCCTCGCGCCTATCTCCCGCCGCTGCATGTCTGCTTATCGTTGGGCTCGGCTCCGTAGCATCAGTGGGATCGTGGGAGGCCTTCTTTCTTCTTGGCAAGGAGTTGTTGCTGGCGGCTCCTTCGCCACTACTTTCGCGTGGGTCTAGGCAGTCCCCGCGATTGATGTTCTCCCTCAGCGCGCGCGTGACGCGTTGAACATATGCATCGACGATTATGGCCTGCAAGCTACTGGACATGTACGTTCAGTGGTCGAGGATACTGTTACTGGGGCCACGCAGCTTTACTCTGTTTTGTCTGATGATCTGCAGGCCGTGGTTTCGGAAGACAAGGCGTCGGCGGCGTGCTCTGATAAGGCTGCGGGGGCCAAACTCAGAAAGTTGTTAGAGCATGTTTTTTTGTGTGTGTGGGGGGGCGTTAGCACCTCCGCCGTTGCTAATTCGGCGCGAGCGACGCGGTTGGCCGCCCACGACGACAAGAGGAGAGAGGCCGCGAGCATGCCGTTAGGCGCAAGGTCTTCAAGCAGCGAGTTGCCCGTCTCAAGAGATTGAAAGGCATCCTGGGCCAGCGGTTTTGCCGTGAAGTTTTCACGTCGGGGCCCCTAGCGGGCGCCATTTATGTTTCCGAAGTGCACGGCGTTTCCAACCACGAGCCGCAGGGACTTCGCCTGGGGCTCGGTCGGGCGATGGAGCCCTCGGCTGCTTTGAGGCCCCATCGCGCCCCTGCTCATTCTCGAGAGGGATCCGACAGCCGCAGCCGCAGTTGCCCCCGCCATTCGGTATAGCAAGGAGATCTGGGCCAACGGGGTCAAGATTTTCAAGCGCCCCCTGGACTTTAAGTTCTTGCGGGAGGCTTGAACCAGCACAGTTCGCCCTGATGCCGATGCTTCCGAGCTCGCTTGGCGCATCGTCTTTTGTCCTTTTAGGGCCATGAAGCTCTCTCTCTCTCTCTCTCTCTCTCTCTGCAGCGGATCCAGTGGGGCATGGAATCCTTCGTTGGGCTCGCGAATGACTTCGGATAGGTCATCGGGCTCGATGTGCGTTTTCCCCGTCCTTGGTTAAAAAGTTTCCGGTTGATGGGGTTATCTTGCAGCTGCAGAGAGACTCAGACCAGGCGCTCGGCACAGGGAAGCGTCTCTGCTACGATGCGGTGGAAGCCCAGTTTCGCCCCCGCAAATTCTCGGCCCTGGAGAAGGGCTGCATCCGCGGGCTTAGTTGCGGAACGACTTGGGCCCTGGATCGCGCAATTGCCTTCGGATATAACTTCACTTACGATATGTGCCCGCTTTGCGCTGTTGCCCCCGAGTGTTTGATGCGCCGCCTTTGGTTTTGCTCTCATTGTCAGTCGGATCGGGATGAGCTCGTCAAGGATCGGATTCAGGAAGCCGCTCGGTCGGGCGATGCCACTGATCCCGCCAACTTACTGTTGTACACTAAGGTAATTTACCCACACCCAGGAGGCGAAGTGCCTCGTCCCTGCAGAGATGGCGGGATCACCGCCAGATGGGAGGCAGAGCCAGATAGAGAGGACACGGCTATCTCTGGCAACATCTTCATGGACGGGAATTGCCAGCGACTAGTCATCAAAGAGTTATTTAGAGCAAGCCGGAGTTTTACAGCCCATAGGGACGACGGCTCTAAAGTTTTTAGCGCTTTGGGGCCTCTGCGGGGGCCGCCCCCCCAAACTAGTCAAGCTGGGGGGTTCGGTGCCCTCGAAGCCTCCTCCCAGTGCATTGGTGCTCCCTCCGTGGGGTTCTCCGACTGCTTGAATGTTGTTCGTGCCCACCAGGAGCCCCGAGCCTTCAAACTGTCCCTTGAGAGGCCATATGCGGGTCTCATGTTTACCAGATTTTCCAAGCGTTGGGTTGAACCTCTGCGCGAAGTCACGGCTCATGCAGTTGATTCCGAGGGTCTGTCCGAAAGGGATCGGTTTCTCAAGGCTGGCAATGACGCTGCTGACGAAGCAGCGAAAGCTGACCTAGCGGCACACCCTCGGCCGACAAATGATCAGCACTTCCACATCTTGTTCGAAAAATTCGTGTTCCCAAGGCGGTCTGCCTGTTGGCTGCTCGGATGTTGCCTTTGTGGCCGCGCCTCGACCTCAGTGAGCTCGGGTTGGCCAAGCCCCCTCGGCAAATCGCCGCGGGCAACCCAGGCACTGCAGACCATAAGTGGGAGTGGTGTCGTTATTAGTGGCGTTGTAACGTCTGTTTTCGTACGCGCAGACCCTTTGAGTTGAGATTTGGCAGCTCAGACGAACCCGACGCCTCTGGGTGCTTTGGCAAGATCCCTGCAGCGCTGTGGAGCGTTGCGTCCGGGGCCACCGCCTGCTCTCGTTTCAGTGCAGCGATGACTCTCCCCTCTTTGTTCGTGTTGGTTGCATCGCTGTTGTTTCGGCTCTGGGCCCCCTGTCCCTCCTTGGGACCAAATGTGGACGCTCAACCAGAACAAATGTTGAGCGTTGGAGGTGCAGGGTTTGTAAAGGCAAGCGCCCGCGTCTCGCAGGAGTCTGCGTGGAAATCGACCCTGAAGTTGTAGAGGCTGTGCCGCACGATGCCCCTAGTGTTTGTGAGGAGGGCAGCAGCGAACCCTCCTCCACTGGCCCGCAGCCTGATAATGTCGTTGACCCTGTCGTCGACCCGTCGTGTGTCGTTCCTGCTGCGGGCCAGGATGCTCAGCATGATGCGCCTTCGGCGAAAGGCGATTTATCTGCAGCTTCCCCTGGAGGGAAGAAGCGCGCGTGTGGGCCAGAATGCCCCTCTTTTAGGGCACCCCGTACTGGTCCTGATCAAGGAGCCTTGATGCCTGGCGCCCCTGAGGGGCGAGCTGCCAGGCACCAGTGTTTTGCAGGCTCCCGGGCGAGCGCCTCGAATGTTTCTTGCACTGTGCCCGCTGCCACAGCTCCTGGAAGGAGCAAGTTGCCATGCGACTCAACGGGGCCTCCCAGCAAGTTGGCCCGCGCGTGCCCGTCCTTGACCGACGACCGCCTGTCGATCCAGGGCCGACCCTGGTTTGAGGGCAGCAGCTCGTCCTACCCTGGCGAGAGGACCCAGCAGCACGTTCCCGTCGTTGTGACGTCGCGCGTTGTGCCCAAGATGGGCGCTGCTCGGTCCTCTCCTTCCGTTTCTGCCACCCCTCCCCCCAATGCGAGGGAAGGGAGGCGCAGCGAAGCTAGCTGCGAGGAGGAGGAGGCCCCTCGCGCGAAAACTGCCACCGCCAAGGCTCCGTTGTGTCAGCCCTGGCTTGCACTGCTGGCTTGGTTGGGAAAGGTGCAGGTGTCCTCCGCCTCCCCCTCCTCCCCCTCATCCTCATGCTCTTCCTCCTCCCTATCCTCCTCCTCGTCCGTCCTTTTCCCCGTCCTCCTCCCTGCTCCTTCTCTTCCTCCGCCTCCTCCTCCTCCACAACCATACGGCATGAGTACTACTCTCCTCTCTCATGCCGAGGACTTGCTGAGAGTGGCGCGCCCTTCATGGCTTGAATCTGGGTGTTTTCCCGACCCGAACGTTCTCGGTACTTCCATGACGGTGTCCCCGCTGCAGCGTTGGTTTTCTTCTGAGATCGGCGCTTTACTCCCGTCGTTCAGAGTGGCGCTCTCGGCCCAGCGCGGGTCACACTCTTGGATCCAAGTGTTTCCTCGTCGTTGTCGGCCCCTTCCTTTCCCCTCCCGTGTCTTCCCCTGGTCCTCCTACTCCTCCCCCTCCTCCTGCTCCTGCTCCTGCAGTTTCTCCTCGTCCTCCCATTCCCTCATCCTTCTCCTCATCCTTCTCCTCTTTCTTGTGCTCATTTTCCTACTCATCCGCCACTTCTTCTTCCAATGTGCGCAGCTCTCCCTTCAGATTGCGCGCAGCACGGTTGGGTCTTTTTCGGTGTTTGTCCCAGGTCCGTTTTGACGCCCGTTGGTGGATCGACAAGACATCAGCGCAATGGAAAGGGACGGGAAGGAGGGGTAGGATGTCAGATGCGGCGCGAGCGTACCTAGTTTGTCCTCCTCTCCCCCCCCCATCCAGGCCTTCCAAATGGGGTCCGAGCAGGTGGGGTCGGAGGATCGCTCCGCATTGGCGATGCATCGGCGATGCGGCTCGATGTGGGGCCCGATTTTCCCTATGCCGATGGCGCCGATGCATCGCCGACGTTGCGGATGCATCGCCGATGCATCCGCAATGCATCGGCGGGGCGGCGGGATCCTCCGACCCCAACTGCTCGGACCCCTACCAGAGTGCGAAGCTCGTGGCGGTTCGCGCTGCGCGGCCGGAGCGACGTCAGAGCGAGGCGGCGAGTCCTTCCTCCTGCTCCGGGGGTGGGGCGGCGCGAAAACGCGGAGCTACAGCGGAGACCCATGCCAAGACACGCCCTGCTTGCCTCCAGGGTGCCCGGGATTTCTCGGGTTTCGCTGGTGTTTCTCTGCGGGAGGCGTGGCGTTCCCACACCAAAAAACCAAGGGACGTGGGGTCTCGGGGTCGAGCTTCTCGTGGAGGGTTCCTCGTGGACCGGCCCCCGCTGCAATCGCGCTTCGCGCTTCGCGGAGCGCAGCGCGCCCCCACAGAGGGTGGCTCTCCGCGCCCCTGCCGCCCCCGCGCGCCGCGGAGGCGCGCGGCGCGGAGCTGGCCGAGCAGCTCTCTGCGTGCAGGAGCCCCGCGGCCCGCCGCCGCCCGGGTGGCGAAGGGCGAGTCGGTTCGGCTTCGCCCGCTCTCCCTCGAGCTCGTGCGCACAGAGGTCTTCGTCGAGCTCATCGTCGTCGAGGCCGTCGAGGCCGTCGAGGCCGTCGACGTCGAAGTCGAAGTCGAAGTCGAAGCCGTCGCCGCAGCGGGCGGGCCCTCCAGGCCGCAGGCCCGGGCGGAGGGGTGCCCCGAGCCCGCCACGCTGAAACCGGCGGGGGCTCGGCTCGGCCTGGCAGCCCAGCGGCCCTTCGAGCTGCTCCCGGCAGGAAGGCCCCGAGATCCGAATCTACCCTTGCCTCATTTCGTTTTTTTGGGCCTCCAAACAAATAGGCCCTGGTCGCCACCGCTGGACTCGCCTCGAGATTCTGGTCAGAACGCGCCCGGGAGAGGTCCCTGGACCTGGAGAAGTGGTATTGGTGCCTTTTGGTTTCCCCAGCCCTGGAACCTCCAGGGCCCCCCAAGAATAGGTCAGCCCCCGTTCAAGGAACCCCAGAGCACGGAGGAAGAGGGCGAGGAGGAGGAGGGGGAGGAGGACGGCACTTTTGTCTTTCCCCGGCTCCTGCGACGAAGCGATTCGGGCGAAGCGGTTCGAACGAAGCGGTCGCCAGGTGCAGCGGTCTGCTACGCCCCCCCCCCGCGCCCGCCCCGGGCGCGGTTCGCGCACGAGTCCGTGCTGAAACGCTCAGAGGGCACGGCTTCATCTGCTTGACCTGACGGCTTGGTGCCCCAGGCTTGAGGGCAATGTTGCTTCGCACTGTTCTCTTGCCACGGCTGTTCAAGCCTTGCTGTGTCCCGTCTCACGGCCTTTGGCACAGACTGAGGAACCGCAGGGATTGTAGTACATTACCCTGGCGACGTACCCAACCTCTGCGCAATGCAGGGCAGGAGTAGCTTGAGAGATTTGACGAGAAGGCGGCGACGTGACATGGACGCAGATACTTCTGCGAGCGGCATTCGGAAGGTTCGCAGGTCCCCAATCAAGGGAATCACGATGAGTAACTAAGTGAACCCCAAAGTCGCTAAGGAAGACGCAAGTCCCAAAAGGAGACGGTCGGCAAGGAACTTGAAGCGTCGCCGGGGCAGCAACAACATGACATGACACCCCAAGGACGGCGAGGCCCCGCTCAGGTCTGCGCAGTGCCTCACTCTGCTGGACCCACCAGCAGCTTTCGAAAGTGGCGACCGTTTCGCAGATCGCAGCCCCCCAGGGACGGCGAGGTCTCGCTCAGATCTGCGCGGTGCCTCACTCCGCTGGACCCACCAGCAGCCCTCGAACGTGGCGACAGGTTCGCAGATCGCAGGCCCCCAGGGACGGCGAGCTATCGCTCAGATCTGCGCGGTGCCTCACTCCGCTGGACCCACCAGCAGCCCTCGAACGTGGCGACGGTTTCGCAGATCGCAGCCCCCCAGGGACGGCGAGCTAGTTCTCAGATCTGCGCGGTGCCCCACTCCTCTGGACTCACCAGCAGCTTTCGAAAGTGGCGACGGTTTCGCAGATCGCAGCCCTTCCAGGGACGGCGAGCTACCGCTCAGATCTGCGACATGCCCTACTCCGCTGGACCCACCAGCAGCTTTGGAAAGTGGCGACAGGTTCGCAGATCGTAGGCCCCCAGGGACGGCGAGCTACCGCTCAGATCTGCGCGGTGCGCCACTCCGCTGGACCCACCAGCAGCCCTCGAACGTGGCGACAGGTTCGCAGACCGCAGCCCCCCAGGGACGGCGAGCTACCGCTCAGATCTGCGCGGTGCCTCACTCCGCTGGACCCACCAGCAGCCCTCGAAAATGGCGGCGGTTTCGCAGTCCGCAGCCCCCCAGGGACGGCGAGCTATCGCTCAGATCTGCGCGGTGCGCCACTCCGCTGGACCCACCAGCAGCCCTCGAAAGTGGCGACAGGTTCGCAGACCGCAGCCCCCCAGGAACGGCGAGCTACCGCTCAGATCTGCGCGGTGCCTCACTCCGCTGGACCCACCAGCAGCCCTCGAAACTGGCGACAGTTTCGCAGATCGCAGCCCCCCAGGGACGGCTAACTACCGCTCAGGTCTGCGCGGTGCGCCACTCCGCTGGACCCACCAGCAGCCCTCGAAACTGGCGATAGTTTCACAGATCGCGCCCCCCCCCCCAGGGACGGCGAGCTACCGCTGTGATCTGCGCGGTGCCCCATTCCGCTGGACCCACCAGCAGCCATCGGAAGTGGCGACAGTTTGGCAGATCGCAGCTTCCCCCCAGGGACGGCGAGGTCTCGCAGGAGACATGAGGCGGGAGGCAGGAGGCGGAAGGCGGGAGGAGGAGACGCGGCCGCGGTGATCCATTCAAAACGATTACCCAGCCAAGGAGGGTTGGAAATCTGATACCCCAGACCCTCCCGAGCCAGGACAACTCGGATGTTCGGCATCTGGGGGCCCATCGGACTTCGGGACCGTCAAACAACGATTCTGGATGATGCTGGTGATGAGCATGATGATGGTGGCGATTTTGCGATGATGATGATGTTGCTGATGATGCTGATGCTGCTGCTGCTGCTGCTGATGATGATGATGATGATGATGATGATGATGACGATGATGATGATGATGATGATGATGATGATGATGATGATGATGACGATGATGCTTATGATGACGATGGTGGTGGTGGTGATGATGCTGCTGATGATGATGATGGTGCTGGCGGTGGTGATGGTGATGCTGATGATGTGGATGATGCTGATGCTGATGTTGGTGGTGATGATGAAGCTGATGATGACGACCATGATGATGGTGATGATGCTGATCACGATGTTGCTGATGATTGTGACGATGACAATGTTTATGGTGATGTTGTTGATGCTGATGGTGACGATGACACTGACGATGACGATGATAATGCTGCTGATGATGAGGAAGAGGATGATGATGAGGATGAAGATGAGGGTGAGGATGCGGATGATGATGAGGATGATGAGGATGATGAGGATGAGGATGAGGATGAGGATGAGGGTGAGGATGAGGATGAGGATGATGATGATGATGATGATGATGATGATGATGATGATGATGATGATGATGATGATGAGGATGAGGATGAGGATGAGGATGAGGATGATGAGGATGATGCGGACGATGCGGATGAGCAGGAGGAGGAGGAGGAGGAGGAGGAGGAGGAGGAGGAGAGGGAGGAGGAGAGGGAGGAGGAGCAGGAGAAGGAGACGAGCAGCGCGGCGGCAGCGCGGGCGCTAGAGCTCACGGTAAACAACTCTCTATTGCCTCTTGGAACCCCCGATGGCGGAGTGCATTCGGGGTCAAACGGGTCTACGGTGACAGGCACCAGAGCACGCGCCGTAACGGGATGAGCTTGTCGTGGTCCGTGATGATGATGATGATCATCATCATCATGATCATCATGATCATGATGATGATGATAATGATGATGATGATGATGATGATGATGATGATGATGATGATGATGATGATGATGATGATGATGATGATGATGCTGATGATGATGATGATGACGATGGCGATGATGATGCTGTTGCTGATGCTGATAATGATGGGGAGGAGCAGGAGGAGGGTGCAGCAGGAGGTGAATGCGGCGGAGTCATGACGCCGAGCCTCGGCGGCCGCTCTTGTCTCTTGGCGGCTCCCGGCAGGAGGGACGGCGAGGCGCACCGCCGGTGGACAGCGGGGCAGGTCGAGGAGCTGGAGGCCTGAGCGCCCCCTGGAGGAGGGAGGTTCGAGGATCGAGGTTTTCGATTGTTACCAGGAGGTTTCGAGGAGGTTCGAGGAGGTTCACGGATCGAGGAGGAGGAGGAGGAGGATGTTCGAGGACTTGGGTGGAGTCATGACAAAATCACGACGGGAGGCTGTTCGCTATTTTCGGCCTCCGGGGGCCCCCACTGGGCCTCGGGACCGGCAAAAAAACGAGTCAGGATGGTAAACTGGTCATTTCCTCCTGCCCCCAGGCTGCCCAGCAGTTAGGTAAGAAGTCTGCAGCTGCTGGAAATCAACATCCACGTCAAGTCCTGTGCTCCAGACCTGGGGTTAGATAGGGGTAGGGCAGCTTCGGGCAGGCCGGAGCAAGCAGCCAGGCGTGTAGCAGCAAGTTTTAAGATCAGCAGGCTCTCTAGATTTGCGAAAGGTGCTAGGAAGCACAGGGAGCTGTCCAAAATAAGTATTTCGGTCTCGGCTTTCGGGCAGTCTCGTTTTTCTGACCAGTTGTACGGTACAGCTCCCAGTGTGCCCATCAAGAAGAGAAGAGTTTGGGCCGATCTGTGCAACAGGAAGAATGGCCCATGCTTAACCACTCTATTAACATTTCAGTACGGCCAGAAGGACCCAGCTTTCACAGCAGTTTTCGATGTAGGCAAGATGTGGTTGGGCATCCTCGGGGATCCCAGAATACAGCCTGAGAGAGTGCAGCGTTGTTGGGGGGAAGGTGTGATCAGACTTAAAGGGCCATTTATGTTTATACAGCTACGGGGAGGGGCCAGCCACAAGAGGGGGTCGGGCGGAGATCTCCGACAGGAGTCCCGAGAGAGACAGGCGAACAAGTTGTCAACAGCAGTGGGCGACATCGCCCGAGTCTCTTGCAATCACGATTCAATCTCGAGATGAAGGCGTGCACCAACCACGAGCTGGTGCCAGAGCTGGGCCGTAATCTCCATCACGGGGCACGCCAAGAACGAAAGTTATCGTGATAACCCGTACACGCCGCCTTGCAAGAATTCTGGCCCCACGGGCCCTCAGCCTGCTTCCCAAAAAACGGGAGGGGGGAGGGAAACTTGGACATTGATTACAACCCAAACATTCCCCCTTATGGCTGGCCCACAGGTTCCCCCTCTACAGATTGTAGGAGGTAGGGAGAGGGAGGAGACAGCAGCGGCGGCACGGCTCAAGTCCTGCGCCGAGCACGTGCACGGTGAGCGCTCGACGGGTTGCCCACGGGCTCAGACCTGGCAGACTGGCCGTCGTCGAAGACTTGCACCTCGTCGTCTTTGACCCGCGCGAGTGTCTCGATCAGGAGCCTGGCCAGCGGGGGAGCGGACACCGCAGAGCCCTCGATGGCCTCCTTCAGCTGCATGGCCAGCCGACGCCAAAAGCTGCGGCCTGTCTCCATCGTCCCCGCGGGCAGCTGCGAACGACGCCTGATGAGCGTGTGAACTCTGGTGTATCGGCTCAGGACTGATGGTGTCTTCCAGCTCCCGCGCCTGCGGGCCTCCCCCAGTCCCCCGCCCGCCGCGACGAAGTCAGCCGCCGCGGCATGGCGGATGCCATGAGGGGGGCCCATGTGCTCAAGGCCCGGCTCGCCCAGCAACTTGCCCCACGAGCGCCTGAAACTGCCCCGGCCCACGGGCAGCACGAACTCCTGGTCCGAGATGACCGAGACGAGGAGCTCCATGATGGCCTTGGTGACCTTCATCTTGAGCTCGACGCCGTGGTCGGATCCAGTCTTGAATTTTTCACCGCGCTCCCGCCTTCCCAGGAGTAGCGCAATCCGCCAGTCCATGTCGATGCTCACGTCGTTCTCACGCAGCTGGCACCAGTCCTGCTCCCTCAGCCACTCGTCCAGCTGCACGAGCGAGGCAGTCCCTTCAATGATATGCCCGCTTCGAAGGAAGCCTTGGTGATGGTCCCCCTCGCCTCCATCGGGATAGGTTCGCCCTCGCCGCCGAAGCCCATGCGCTCTAAGCCCTTGAGTGCGCGGGCCGAAACGAGTAGGCAGTTCCTGTGGTCCTCGAAGATGTGCATGAACCCGTTGAAGAGATAGCTCGCTTCCATGAAGCTGGCCTGCTGCACGTAGCACATGTCGGCGATGTAGTCCGCCAGTGCCTTGTCGCGCTCTACCACCGTGCTGAACGGCTGCCCAGCGCGCTTCACCTCCACCAAGATTTCTTGCACGGCCCGCTCGTACTGGATCTTAGTATTGTCATAGACCGCGTGGATCACGAGCCTGCTGTTGTACTTCAGCGGCCCGTCAGCGGCCATCTCCCAGGCAAGTGCAACTCTCTCTCTGTTTGAGCGGAGGTAGCTTGCGCCCTCGCGGTGCCCCCGCAACCCGCTGCGTCGAGACGAAAAGGATCCCCAGTGAGAGTGTCCAGCGGCCCCTCGCCGTCGTAGCCCTAAAAGCCAATGGGGCAGGCGCCTGGGTGTGAACCTCGCACTGTGGCCCGCCTTTGCCCCCAGCGCCGCTTTCAGCTCCATTTGCCGAGACGGTCCGTCGGCGACGTTGACCTCGGAAGAGGGCCCGCGGTAGCACGGGCGAAGTCGGCGCACCAGTTGCAGCATTCCTGCCATCCTCGCCAAGTGCAGTAGAGCCCGTGCTGAACTTTTCCCTTTGGTCAGCATTCCCAGGCTCGCCAGAGAGCCCGTCACGATGAGAACTCGCGATGTCCATGCCCTCGGAGTCCGCGACAGGTGTCGCAACAGCGCCACCATCGTCCTCAGCTCGAGCACGTTGTTGCGCTCCTCCCGCTGCCAGCGCCCCTGGAACAGGGCCCTCCACCTCCGTTCGTCGAGCCAGCTCTTCTGCGGTGGCCGTGGCAGTCCATGTCGTAGTCTCACCTGCGCGCCGTCTGGGACCCTCTCCCAGTGGGGCTCGACGCTCGTCGCGACCTGGGCGTAGGCCTCGCAGAAGAGGACGGGGCGCGGGCCGGCGATCTTCGTCCACTTGGTGCCGCCCGGGCCGCTGCCCCGCAGCTCGCGGTGCGCCGGGCCCATCCTCGAACGGCGTCCTCCCGTCGCCTGGCACCGACGCTCCAGCGCCTGCAGGGCCCTGCAGTTGGTGGCCAGGGTTGACGGCTTCTTCCTCTCCTCCCCGTACTGGCAGTAGTTTAGGCTGACCCTGATGACTTCGGCCTTCGAGAGAAGGTCGAGCATGGGCGGGAAGACCCACATCAGGCTGGACTAGGGGTTCTCGATCACGAAGTAGATGCCCTCCCTGACGCAGCGGGGCGCCGCCAGCGCCGCCAGCGTACACAGCGTAGATCCCTCTTGTGCCTTGTCCGCGTCGCTGGGGCTCAGTCCTGGTAGGCCCCCGGGAGAGTCGGGCGCCTTCAAAGGTGGTCGCCTCGCCCGCGAGGAGGTAGAGCAATGGGGGGGCCATGTGTGTCCACCGCCACCGCCGCCGCAGGCGTCGAGAGGGATGCTCGAGGTTCGGAACCCTGAGGAGATCGCACTCGCGGCCACGCGCCAGACCCCACGCCCCCCCCCCCCCCGAGAGAGCCATAGCGAGGATCGCCTAGAGGAGCCTCTCGCTGCCCGCGAACAGCTCCAGACAGCCCGCCCCTCCCATCTCTGGAGACATGGGCGCGTCGCCCTCGTCGCCCTCGGCGCCCGCCCCCTGCTCGCCGTCGGCGCGCGCTCGCGCCGCATGAATTTTCCAGGGATGCAGCGCTCCACGGCTGAGCTCTGCCCTGATCTCGTCCGCGTCGGCCTCCGCAGGGACCGCTGAAACGCCCTCTTCCGACGCATCCGCCATAGAGACCTTCTCCGGCCAGGGTGCCTCCAGGTCCGCCTCCATGAACACGTGTAGCGCTGAGAGCGCTTGCAGCTCTCTCTGAACCTGGATGTCCAACTTCTGCCACTTCGACGCGTCCTCCTCGCTGAAGCTGTTCATCCAGCGGAAGGCAGCGTCCAAGATGCAGAGCGCCACCCCGTTGGTCATCATGGCCCACGTCCACAGTCCCAGTAAGCTGCTGAGAGCAGCAGGGGGCACGCCACCCATGATGACCACCGCTTCTGTTAACAGCAACATATCCCGCATCTTGTCCTGGACGACGCGGAGCCTACGCGGCCTCGGCCCAATGGACAGGCCAAGACCCCTCGCTAAGCCCTCGCCCCAGTCCTCCCTGTGCATTTGAAGTCCCGGCGCCTCACGGCGCGCCTTCGCCGGCCCCCCTGTCCCAATCCAGCCCCCCCCCCCGCTTTCCGAGCGCAGTTTCAGCCCGATGTAGTCGTCGATGTGAGGCGAGAGCATCGGCTGGGACTTCTCGAAGGACGGGGTCGGTCTCCCGCAGGTGATCTGCCCCAAGTTGATATCGGGCAAGCTCTCCGGCGCGCCCGAGAGACAGCCGCGCGCCCGAGAGACCGCCCAGCTGGGCCCCATGACGGGGGACATGGCCTCAAGTCCCATATCGTCGGGCTTGGGTTTCGCCGCGGGGGCCCCTGCTTGCGCGCGCAATCGTAGATCTGCTGCGGGGTCACCTCGGGCAGCCGCAAAATACTCCGCCAACGAAGATGGCCATCGTAGCCGGTAGAACCAGTCGGGCATATCGCCCTGGAAGGAGTGAAGCCGCCGCCCACGTTGGACTGACTCGTCCAGCCCCAGTCGCGCCAAGACGTGGGGGGCCCCAGCGGCGCCCGCGGTGGGTCCTGGAACGGGAGGTTGACCGCCCTGCAGTCCCAGACCAGGCGACCCTTCTCCTCCTCCTTGCCCGACTCGCCCAGGTTCTTGACGGCGATGAAAATGCCAACGCGCTGGCGCATGTTCTTCGCATAGCCTATCATGCCCGAGCGCAGCATTCTGTGGGTGAGCTCGAGTCGACTGTCGGCCCGCTCCAGCCCAGGTCGGTGCAGCTGCGCGCGTTCTCGTAGCGGCCCCAGTCGACCTGGCCCACCCCCATGATCATCTCGTCGCCGAAGTCCCCGAGGCAGACCCCCGCCGTCGCCGAGAGCCTCTAGGCGCCCAGGCCCTGGTCGGCGGCGGCGCCGAG